TAGAGTCAAGGTGCAGAGGATGACAGTAGGCTGGGAAAATCAATTTGACCTCTTATATAATCTGTTTTTACTGTTATGTAATATAGCCTTAGCAATTATCGGACGAGCTTCGAACAGTTGTGTTCCTGCGAGAGGTTGTAGGTGGTATTAGGACAGTTTAAGCTCGGAGGGTAACTTTGAGTGTAGCTAAAGATCCTGGATACAAGTGCACACTTTGACCGCTACAGCTACGTGAAGCATTAAAATAAACTCTGTAGGAAGCTGAGAAGTAATACTCCACAGGCATATTAACTTATCAGCAATCAAACTGTGGACCTTTTGATTATGTTATTTAGTTTTGTCATCATCGGTTATTTATAATAACACCAAGACCAGAGGGTATCAAGACCAAGACAAGACCAAGACCAAGACTGAGACAAAAAAGTCTTTAAACTGCAGCCAGAAGCTGCTTCGTTTATGGGTGTAAGCATTTTATGTGTTTTTGCGATGCACTCACACAGCCCTCCTCATCACTGTCTACTGTCTCACTCACTTACTGAGAGGACAGGCGCAAGCTCCACTTGACTGTCGTGTCTCTCACATAATGATATTATCCCATATCCTCGCATGTGATTGGCCACAATATGGACGCTGTGTTTTGAGTTTTGTTCAAAAAAGAATCACTCATATAGGAAAAATATATATAAGATAAGATAAGATAAGATAAGATAAGATAAGATAAGATAAGATAAGATAAGATAGAACTTTATTAATCCCTCGGGTGGGTTCCTCTGGGAAATTCGATTTCCAAAAAAGCACAGCACCGACAGAAGTTACAGAGTTATACACACACACATATATATAAATACAGAGACAATATAAATAAAATATACGAAGGGGATAAATAGAATAAATAGGAATAAAAATAAAAATACAAGTGAATTGCACATTTCAATATATCACATCTGCAGGACACCTTAAACTAGTTTTTTAATTAAGCAGCGAGGCAGAACAAAGTCGGGCTGCATCAAGACACAGGGACTAAACCCCAATTCAACCAGACCCAGAACTGATCCGGAATTAAAACAGGATACAACAGTTCAAAATCAGGACTACTGAGGATTTAACCAAAACAGAACCAGAATCAGAACTAGATGATAGTAGCACTAAAATCATCATAGACCTGCACTACACTTATTTTTAATTCTACCAAAGTCCACTATTTAGATTGAGAAACGTTTATATAATTATTTAGCCTTGTTGTGCAAACAAGCTGCAAAACTTAATAAATATAGAATTTGAAAAATAACAAACGGAATCTAAAAAGTTACACTAGGCACTGGATACATGTTCTGATGAGTTTTGGCAAACAACCATGTGACTAACAGGTGTGTCTCACCTGCTCTTGTTCCCTCCCTCTCTCATTCTGCTCCTCTCTCTCTCTCTCTCTCTCTCTCTGTTCCTCTCTCTCTCTCTGTTCCTCTCTCTCTCTCTGTTCCTCTCTCTCTCTCTCTCTCTGTTCCTTTCTCTCTCTCTGTTCCTCTCTCTCTCTCTCTCTCTGTTCCTCTCTCTCTCTCTCTCTGTTCCTCTCTCTCTCTCTGTTCCTCTCTCTCTCTCTCTCTGTTCCTTTCTCTCTCTCTGTTCCTCTCTCTCTCTCTCTCTCTGTTCCTCTCTCTCTCTCTCTGTTCCTCTCTCTCTCTCTCTCTCTGTTCCTCTCTCTCTCTCTGTTCCTTTCTCTCTCTCTGTTCCTCTCTGTCTCTCTCTCTCTGTTCCTCTCTCTCTCTCTCTCTGTTCCTTTGTCTCTCTCTGTTCCTCTCTCTCTCTCTCTCTGTTCCTCTCTCTCTCTCTGTTCCTCTCCCTCTCTCTCTCTCTGTTCCTTTCTCTCTCTCTGTTCCTCTCTCTCTCTCTCTGTTCCTCTCTCTCTCTCTGTTCCTCTCTCTCTCTCTCTCTCTGTTCCTCTCTCTCTCTCTCTGTTCCTCTCTCTCTCTCTCTCTCTGTTCCTCTCTCTCTCTCTCTGTTCCTCTCTCTCTCTCTCTCTCTGTTCCTCTCTCTCTCTCTCTCTCTGTTCCTCTCTCTCTCTCTCTGTTCCTCTCTCTCTCTCTCTCTCTCTGTTCCTTTCTCTCTCTCTGTTCCTCTCTCTCTCTCTCTCTCTCTGTTCCTTTCTCTCTCTCTGTTCCTCTCTCTCTCATTCTCTCTGTTCCTCTCTCTCTCTCTGTTCCTCTCTCTCTCTCTGTTCCTCTCTCTCTCATTCTCTCTGTTCCTCTCTCTCTCATTCTCTCTGTTCCTCTCTCTCTCTGTTCCTTTCTCTCTCTCTGTTCCTCTCTCTCTCTCTCTCTCTGTTCCTCTCTCTCTCTCTGTTCCTCTCTCTGTTCCCCTCCCTCTCTGTTCCTCTCTCTCTCTCTCTGTTCCTCTCTCTCTCTCTGTTCCTCTCTCTCTCTCTCTCTCTGTTCCTCTCTCTCTCTCTGTTCCTCTCTCTCTCTCTCTCTCTCTCTGTTCCTCTCTCTCTCTCTGTTCCTCTCTCTCTCTCTCTCTCTCTCTGTTCCTCTCTCTCTCTCTGTTCCTCTCTCTCTCTCTGTTCCTTTCTCTCTCTCTGTTCCTCTCTCTCTCTCTCTCTCTGTTCCTCTCTCTCTCTCTGTTCCTTTCTCTCTCTCTGTTCCTCTCTCTCTCTCTGTTCCTCTCTCTCTCTCTCTCTCTCTGTTCCTCTCTCTCTCTCTGTTCCTCTCTCTCTCTCTGTTCCTCTCTCTTTCTCTCTCTCTCTGTTCCTCTCTCTTTCTCTCTCTTTCTCTCTCTCTCTGTTCCTCTCTCTTTCTCTCTTCCTTCTCTCTCTCTGTTCCTCTCTCTCTCTCTTTCTGTTCCTCTCTCTCTCTGTTCCTCTCTCTCTCTCTGTTCCTCTCTCTCTCTCTCTGTTCCTCTCTCTCTCTGTTCCTCTCTCTCTCTCTGTTCCTCTCTCTCTCTCTGTTCCTCTCTCTCTCTCTCTCTGTTCCTCTCTCTCTCTCTGTTCCTCTCTCTCTCTGTTCCTCTCTCTCTCTCTCTGTTCCTCTCTCTCTCTCTTTCCTCTCTCTCTCTGTTCCTCTCTCTTTCTCTCTCTCTCTCTCTCTCTCTCTCTTCCTCTCTCTCTCTCTCTTTCTCTCTCTCTCTCTCTCTGTTCCTCTCTCTCTCTCTCTCTGTTCCTCTCTCTCTCTCTTTCTCTCTCTCTGTTCCTCTCTCTCTGTTCCCCTCTCTCTCTCTCTCTCTCTCTGTTCCTCTCTCTCTCTCTCTCTCTCTCTCTGTGCTGACAATCAAACCAAACACCAACATCATCAAATATACAGTGGAAACCAGATATTTACAAATTTTCTGTTCCTGCTGTTTTGTTGACATCTCCTGATGTTCCCATGTCACAGAAACAGGCTCTGTGTTTTGCCTTATATGCATCCACAGCTGTGCCACCAGTTTACTCACATGGACTCTACAAACCAATCAGAAGCTTCTTCAGCTCAGAATAGAATCGTCTGGAGTTTCTTATTAATTAACAATAAACTTAGAGTATATGTACTCCTACATTTGATGAAAGTGATAAAAATAGAAGCTCTGTCTCTCTTTATTCTGACATTTAACTAATTCAAAAGATATTTCAATATTTATTTATCCAAAACAAAACAAGTTTACTGTAAATTGATGTTTAACAGTAAAATAATGTTTTTATGTTTTCTCCATAAAGTGTAACTATCTGGTTTAAACTGTGAATATACTGCTGTGTATTGAAATTCCTCTTGTTTTGCATAGAAATATACTGAACAACATACAAAGCATAATATATAAAATAACATCTACCAGTTTTTTCTTTGAAAGAAGCTCCTCATGTCCATTGTTGTGTTCATCAGTACATTACTGATTTATTTAGCCGTGGAGGGAAACAACTGAAAATATGAAATAAACACACATGTAAGCTGAGACTCTCTAAAGAAACAGCATTGTTGTTGTTCGGCTTTTCATTTTGCCGTTTGTTGATTCACTCAACAGTTGTCAGTCAGACATCTAACGATGAAACAAATTACACTCCAAAAGACCCAATGCTTCTGATGCTTAAGCTCAGTAAGCCCCCCCCCCCCAGCTCTGCCGGCGGTTGACTCCAAATCTCCCGAGAACTATGTCGATCTAAGAAAGCAAGACCGAGACAGCGAGACCAAGACAAGACCAAGACCACGTAAAAGTGGTCTCGGGACACCCAACTCTAGTTAGTGGTAAATGGACTGATTCTTGTATAGCGCTTTTCTGCTCTCCCAAAGCGCTCTGTACAACATTCACACAAACAAGTGCTTTCTAATTACCATTCACACACCGATGGATGCATCAGAGAGCAACTTGGTGTTAATGTCCGAGGATATTTGGCACGCAGACTAGTAGGAGCCAGGGACTGAACCACCAACCTTCCTGAGCTACAGCCACCCCGTGCTCATCCAAATGATGAATGATGATTTCCTTGATTGTTGATTGATGATTGTTTTCCTTTTTTTCATCCTCTCAATTGGTCTTTTTTACTATATAATAATTTTACTATCGTGGGTATCCAGATTTTAACACGCTGGCTTCAGTTTTCGTAGTTTTCACCTTAACAAGTTAAATATATGCAGGAGAAGAGGAAATATTGAAAATAGTGTAGAAACAAATCATTGCATCACACAGTTTAATTTTTTAGACCAAACTTTTTATATTAGCACTTGCAGTTGTACCCATAGTGGAGTCAAAGCCTTACACTCTGTATAATGAGCTCTTTATAATCATCACAGTGTGCAGAAGTGCTGCTGTGGACAACCATACTCATCTCTGTCCACAGTCAACCCTCTACATCGTGCAGTGACCTTCGTTTCATTGCCATGGTCTTGTGGAAATGTCTTTAGTTGATGTGTTGATTATCAGACAGCCTGTAGTATTTGTCCATCATCATAAGGTAAAGTATGCTCTGTAAGATGCCCTGGATGGGGTCGCACTGAGTTGTCCAACTGTCCTGACACAAGTCGTTGTTGATCTCACTGTTGTAGGGGAAAGACTCTAGGGCTGCAGATAAGACTGTTGCCATGGTCCTGAAGGAGATACCAAGTAAGGCGTCATCAGAAGGGAAGCCCCTCCTCACAGTGACTACAAAGGTGGGCAGATGCATTTCAGAAACACCCCACCCACCCCCAATCCCAAACCCACCCCCTGGATTAAAGCAGAAAGTCCTCCTGTGTTGGTCACACTGAAACACGAGCAAAGCTTTGAGTGTCCTATAACTGACCTCTCCTGTCTACTAACTCCTAACTTGAGCCTTATGACTGTTGTATCTAACAAAGAAGCGAAAATTATTTCATTTCCAGCTGCTCTATGGGGTATAAAACCCACCTAATGCATCACTACGTTTGTACAAACAGAGCCTAATGATGTTACCATCTACACAAGTAACCTCAAATTCACTGCAATTATTCATGCGACTCTTTATCTTTTCCAATTAGCCTCTGCAACACTCATAGTGCTCCTCCACTTCTATATTTAACACTGTATGGGGATTAACCACAAATTTCGTGTCCCATTCATAATCGGGTCAGTCAAACTTCCTCGTGAACTTTTTACACCTCATAAGCAGCTAATCCTCAGCACAAACAGTGTGTGAATGCATTTCCAAAAAAATGCTATGTCACACAGCATGGCATTGAGCTGTTGGTGGTGTTCTTTGAACCAAAGACTGCAGCAAATTACTGCAGCCATTGCTGAGCTTTTCACTTCTCTGTTGCTTTTTAAGTGGTAAAGCTGGAGTCTATGCACCAAGTGCCAGTATGAGTTTTGTTGCCCTGTGCTTGATTGCTTCTGTGGGTGCTGCTGCTGCGTGTGTGTCTATGTTTTGATAAGCTGTAGCATGCTTTACTCCTGTTTTATTTTCTAATGCAGTGTCTGGTTTGATAAGCTCTCATACAACAGATATAATTTTCCCACTTAAGTGTGGGGGGGATGTAATTATAGCCCCAAATTGTTTGCTGAGTCGACACCAACAGAGTACGATTTAAAGATTTATCTTAAACCAAAGTGTAAAGGGTCAGGAAGGAATCAGTGATTGTTAGCACACGTTTCCTGTATCTGACATTTCTGCTCATTTAAGATGCTGCAGTGAGGCTGAAATCAAATTAATGGAAATAATAGATCAATAACTTATTCTCAGTTTGGATGTTAGCAGCTCATATTTCTCCTGCTACTTTACATTGAGTTTTATTGCTGCTTCAAACAGGCAACGCTCCATCAGTTATGCTCAGCGAGTCTGATCGACCACCGGCGAATGAGGTGATAACGGCCTATTGAGTGTGCTGGTAGGTGGAGGAGGCCGCCGACTGGCAACATGCACGAGGCTGATAACAGCTGATGATGACCATTCATGGTCTAAAAACATTCAGACTGGGGGGGTTTACATTTTACAGCCTTCAAATGTCAATAATCTTGTCTTCAGGCCCAGCATTGAGTGAAAAGAACATGAACACAAATGTCATTACCATTTTGGGTTTACTTCTCACAGTGCAATGATGACAGCATGTTTCCATGAGGCCACAGGCTTCAACTTTCAAAATGAATCAAAAATAACAAACAATAACAAAACAATATAAAACCTCTCATTTCATTTATTTATTTATAAAGCACGTTTAATAACAATAGGGAGCTGACCAAAGTGCTGTACAAAGTAATGACATTGACGACAACGACAGGTAAGAAAATTAAAAGAAAATTAGGATAAAAGAATTGGTAACTCTCCTACAGTTTCGAAAGCCAGAGTAAAAAAATATGTTTTCAGATGCGATTTAAAAAGAGTAACAGTTGGGGCCTTTCTAATGTGGAGAGGTAGATCATTCCACATTTTCAGTGCCACAACCGCAAATGCCCGATCTCCTCTATGAACCATCCTAGGCTTATGTAAGGAGCAGATGTTTGCTTGATCGAAGGGCTCTAGGGCGTATAAAGCTGCAATAGGTCAGACAAATAGTCCGGTGTCTGGCCAAGTCAAAAGTAACATTTTGAATTTAATTCTAAAACGCACTGGAAGCCAATGAAGGCTCTTCTCACTATTGTCTTCACATAATTATTAAAATGATCAAAGCCACAACAACTAATTAAAGACACAAACTTAGAGGCCCATCATACATACTAAGCAGGTCACACATGCATGCACTGCATAATGTATAGAAAGTGAGTTTCCTGTATCCTCTCTTTTTAAAAAGGTAGAAAAATATGTCAAATTATAACAGTTAAATCATATTTGAGTACCACAGACATGTAACAGTAACAACCACTTTGCTTGCTTTTTGCACACCCTTCACCAAACACCCCCCCCCAGTGTTCGCACACTGTTGTTTAAACATTTTATGTGCTAAAATGATTAAAGGGTGTATATGAAAAAGTCAATTTTTCTGCAGATTTTTATTTTTTAATATCTGGATTGTCAGTTAGTCAAAATCAAAATCACCAGTAAAATAATCTTAAATGACAGCGTCGAAGCGAATGCTGGATGTTGTTTCCACTCGGCTGGACTCAACTCATGATTGAAGTGCTCTCCAGTGGCTGAGGCAGCAGTTTGAGAAGTGTCCCTGCCTGATGTCACTTAGCAAGTGATGGAGGCTAAGCCACAGCCGGTGGTCCCTTTAGCCGCACGTCAAGTCAGGTCAGGTTTGTTTGGAAAGCCCAAGATGATGCATGATGTCTGAATGGGCCACACACACACAGGCTTCAACCAGCCAGACTCTTTATGATGATACATGAAAAAGAATCCGCATGAAACAAGACGTCACATTCACCTCTTCCTCTAATTTAATTCACAGCTCTGATATCCTCATTTCTTCATCCATATAAAACTAAACTACAGTGATGATCTTCAGAACTGTGTGCTACTGTATGTGCAACAGATCTGCTGTTAATTATCAGTTTTTGTTTTATTTTTGTTATTTTGTTCATTTTTTATTGACTTTTAGTAAAAAAGGTAAGATTCAATGTGCAAAAAGTACCTTTTTAAGTATCCTAAAAAATGGATACATTCCTTTTTTAATATTACGTTGTACTTTTTTCACACTGTCTCCTAAAAACAAATCAGTCAGGCAAAATGTTGTATTGGATAGAATATTTCAAACCTTTATTTACAAGCAAAATTCAAATTGAATTAGTGTCCTTGGCCAAAATAGGCAGGGTTAACCTTGGTTTCGGAGCTAACCCACCATGACTCTCAATGCCAGGACAAAACGGAGTAACCAGAGAAATAAAAAATATCCAGGATCCTGTTGCTGTGAGGAAGCCGTGCTAACCACTGATCCAGTTCCAGTCATTATAACAAGACACATTATAGAGCCAGCTGTTAGGACCGATCTTCAGCATTAATAAAACCAGTCTTGGACAAATCACAAGAAAAGTACAGAGCGATGGGCTGTTGAATTGATGATTTTTGTCCAAAGGCAGTCTGGTAGCAAGCTTTTAGTATGAAATAATGGCAGCTTTATTCTTCACTCAAATATATAAGGGAAGAAATTATTCTTTTTTTTTAATATTTCACTTTTGACTCTGCTGCCTAAAGTCAAATCATATAAAGCCATCACGATGACTCATAAAACCCCAACAAGCCTTTGGGATGAATAGATCATCACCACCCACAAGAAACTGCTTGGAAACAAAAGTAACGAGTAAACAACCTGATGCATCACGGAGAAGCTTTCTAATGATTTGTAAGAATCAATTTTGCATTTTAAAAAAGACTTGCTGCATAGTTATATAATCCCTGACCACAGCTCACAACCACGTGAACTCTATAAAGCATACAACCTTGACTGTTATCATTTTTCTAGCCAACCATCCATCGCATAGCCGCCAGCTTTTAGCTAACAGCTGACATTAGTTCTCTTTGCCTTTATGTAGTGTTTTCCATCCTCTGCACCTCCTCCTACCCTCACCTCAGCCTCCCCTCCTTCAAGACTCTGGTACACAATTCCCCTGACAGCAACATCTGAGAGTCAAGCCCAAGTGGCACAATTAGTTGAAGTTTTCTATCACATAATATTCTAGATTACTGCTTAAAGCACTTGTAAACAAAATGCCAAAGTGCTTTGCATAGGAGAGAGTTAAAAAGAAAGGCAGCGAGGGAAAACAGTAACCTCCTCATAGCAATGGGCAAACAGCTCACAAAGCTCCTCTCCTGCCTTAGAAGTGAACCTGTAATTAGTGTTTGCATGCTACCTGCTCTGTGCCTCACACATCATCCCAGATAAACATGGTAGATTTTCTGTCCCCATTTTCTGGTTGATTGGAGGAGGAAAGTGAAGAGGTCTCATCATTTCAAAGCCATGATTTAGAACAGACTCCTGTGGCAATTACACAAAGTGCTTTGAAGAACTACATCAGCTTACAGTGATCGTTTAGGGTTGGGCGTAGATTGTACAGAGTCCTCCATCAGAAGGCTGCCAGCAGTCATACAGAAACAACCTCCTCTTCACAGGCGTGCCTCAACTTATAGGCTCAAAAGCGACCGTTCACAGTCAAATCAAGCTTTCAGTCTGTCAGACTCCACACTCACACTAACATCTTTAATGATGCACTTAGGCACAGCAGTGCTTTTGTGCTGAATGCTAATGGGTTATAGTTTCCTTTATGACCGTTCTAGTTTAGTGTTACCACGCTACCATGTGTTCCCCCTTAAGGCGAGACTAGTGTTTAACATTTAACCTTGAAAACATCCCAAATGTAGTCAGTTACAACGCCAAGCTTTACAACCTCAGGCCTCATGTATCACTCTGGAGGATTTTAAAATCCAGTAGGGTTGTCACCCTGTCCATAACACCAACCTGTGCTAAAATCTCTCATCTGCAGCTCTCCCAACTCACCAAATGATACGTCCATCATGGTCATAGTAACACCAGATGGTGTCTTTAGTGAATGTGCCACACTTGGAAACTGTTGAAAAATGGAGTTGAGCCTTAAAATGAAGCCAGTGCAGAAATAGCAAAAACAAATGCAACAAATCAAATGGCACTTGAAGCTGGTTTCAAAGCAAGTCGATGCCAATAGAGTCCCATGATGACATCCCCAACTTTTCAGCAGAATTAAACATATTTACACCCTTTTGCAGAACATTTTTGGTCTCTTTTCCTTA